CCCCTGCCCCCCCCCCCCAATTGATGAATTCCACTTACATTTCGCAGATAAAGACGATGAGATGAAGCGTCGCATGCAGGAAAGCGCCGCTCCATCTCCGGACCTCCAGAACGGCAGCGGTTTTGTCCCGAATATTGGAGCAAGTGCAGCAACAATGTTTTCACGTCGTCAATTTGTTCAGCAATGACTTGACTAGTTTGTTTGTTTTTTTTTTTTGTCACGGACAAACTTCAGCCCATTGTTCACAAAGTGAAAGTGACTGAGATGAACGAATTGACTTTGCAAGTCAATGTCTCGTGTGCGCCTCGCTAAATCTTCACTAGTGGCCCTAAAATGGCATGTTCGGGGCCCCCGCGGCTCGCTGCAGTCCCCTAGACTCTTTTTCGAGCCAGGGCACATTTTTTTTCATTGAAAAATCCCGCGGCACGCCACGACCTGAAAATGTGAAAAAAGCTTCTTTGAAAAAATGAAGTGTTCTATTGTTAGGAGAAGCGTTCTTTCACATTGAAAACGAACGCGATATCATAACACATTGAATAGGAATAAATGCAATATTTGGTGCATTCATTTTAATGGCAAGTAAGATCTCGTCAATTCGAAGTCTAACTTGCTCAGGGTGGGATTTTTTTTTTCTTTCTTTTCTATGTGACAGCCGCTTCTTTCTCTCCCGCAATATTGGACCAATCGCTTTTCCCCTCTTGAGTCTTTGTATCCTTCCAACGTCATTCAAATAACTTTTCTGATGAATGTGTCGCTTGAAGTAATCCGGCTTCCATTTGGTCCCTATTTTTCCATCGGAAAATGTGTTTGCAGCTTCCACTTTGCCGCATGTTTTACAGTGCACTCCAAAAAGAAAAGATTTCACCCAGTTTCGCCGCTCGTGCTTCTATTTGCACAGACTCCGTCAGCCATTCCGACTTCAAAGAAGCGCGGTTCCTTCTTATTTTGGTTGCGGGAGGAGACGCGTCGCGTTCGCCGCCCGGTCGTTGCGCCACGATCAACGATGAGCATTAGCATTAGCATTAGCGTCGCTTCTCGCCGACGCATCGTTGTTGTTGTGGAGCGCAGAACGCTAGCAGGTACTGTTGTGTCAATGCCGTGATTGATGGCGTCATTGCATCGTATCGCGTGATTGGCCGGACACCTCTCACTCACTCAATTACGCAGCAAATGGATACAGAAAAAAAAAGGTTCTATAGTGCGTTCACTGCGCTGCATAAGGTTTTCTTGTGGGAGAGTGTGCGACCAGTGCGCAGTTGCGCAGCTTACAGGGAACTTGGGTGCAGTCAATCGAAATGAAAGCGACCTTTAGTTGGAACGCCTCACGCCGGAAACTTCGCTTGTCTCGAAGCATGAGGCAATTAGCTAGCTGCTGCTGCTCCCTACCGGTATGGAAGAGTACTACACGATCACAATGTCGGGCGATGACGGCACGGGCAGGCACGCGTGTTGGAGAATTTGCCGCCACGGCGCACCTGACAAGATCTCGCGGCACAGGGTTTGAAAAACACTGCCCGAGACAGCCACAGCCAAGAGCA